TATATATATTCATTTAACTATAACACATATGGTCCATGGAAGAATTGTAACTCTTATGCTCATTAATATTATAATGGCTACTACCTAAATTATAACCTAAAGTTGATAATTGATGTCCAATTAGCAAACCCTAAATTTGTAATCATTTTGGAGTGATTGAAATTACAATGGAAGTAGTTTAAACTCCTAGTACCTTAAATGAAGTTGGTCTCTTCTAATAAAACACAAATTTCTCTTTAATATCATTAATACAATTATGCTTCATCTTGAACCTACTAAACATGAAACTAAAACTGCGTTCAATTTAACTCCATTTTATTGTCATCTTGAATGACGTGTAGGATATATTCTTGATTTACCTTGATATTTCATATTAGTTAAGTTTTTTGCAAAATCACAATTAGACAACAACAAAGATGAACTTGGGTCTGTTTATTATTTTAAAGAAAATTTCTTTCTCCATCTAACTCTGTAACTAAATTCATATTATGTTAAGAAACAAATTTTTTACTCACAAGAAGTAAAATATGCAACTTTAACTAAAATTTCATCTAAACAAATTTTATTGTCATACAACATAGATTACAATTATAGCCTTCAAACAAAAACTAGAGTAGTTGTGGTGAACGGGATAAAAACTCTAGTGTTCATCCATAATATACAACCACTACCTAAATTATGACCTAAAAATTTTAAAACATAAGTTGTAGTTGAAAATTACATAAAACAATCCCCTAATCCAAGAACTCGTGTCCAATTAGTAAATCCTAAAGATAGTAGCTAACATAAAGTAATTGAAGCTCCACATGAAGTAATTTAAAGTTCTAGTTACTTAACTAAAGTTTATCTCGCTTTTAATGAAGCATGAGTTGCACTTAAGTTCATGAAATGTTTATAGACTCCAACTCTTAGTACTATTAATGCAATTATATTTCATATGAGTTTGTCATAAATCAAACTATGGTACATTCAATACAACTTCATTTTCTTGTCATACGAAGCAAAATAGAAGAATTAAATCAAACAAACTGATGAACTGAGCCGAATAAATCCAACCCAACCCAAACTGATTAGTTTGATTCATTTGTTGGGTTGAAATTTATTTGATAACACTTGCATATTAGAACAATTCAATATTACATGCCTTACTTACAAGTAAAATACTAGACCATCAACTTTTTGTTTTATAGTCCAACAACCGCTCAAGAAAATAGATTTCAAACTTGAGAGAAAAAAATATATTGAGTAAGAGTTAAAAATGTTGCATTGTTTTTAGAAAGGGCATTTGGTCTAGTGGTATGATTCTCGCTTAGGGTGCGAGAGGTCCCGAGTTTAATTCTCGGAATGTGCCCCTATGTTCATTTCTCAAAAGATGAGCCTCAGAGAAACAATTCAGCAGCAACCTAGTGTATTATCATTTAATGATAATGCTTTTTTAATATCATTTACTTGTGTACTCCACGATATATGTCTCAACCTAGTGTATTATCATTTAATGATAATGCTTTTTTAATATCATTTACTTGTGTACTCCACGATATATGTCTCAACCTAGTGTATTATCATTTAATGATAATGCTCTATGTTCATTTTTCAAAAGATGAGCCTCAGAGAAACAATTCAGCAGCAACCTAGTGTATTATCATTTAATGATAATGCTTTTTTAATATCATTTACTTGTGTACTCCACGATATATGTCTCAACCTAGTGTATTATCATTAATGCTTTTTTAATATCATTTACTTGTGTACTCCACGATATATGTCTCAACCTAGTGTATTATCATTTAATGATAATGCTCTTCATTTACTTGTGTACTCCACGATATATGTCTCAACCTAGTGTATTATCATTTAATGATAATGCTCTTAATATCATTTACTTATGTACTCCGATATATGTCTCAACCTAGTGTATTATCATTTAATGATAATGCTCTTAATATCATTTACTTGTGTACTCCGATATATGTCTCAAATGGAACTATCAAACTAAAACTTACACTAGAAAATAACTTCTATTCTTTTTTCTTCTCTCTACAGTAATTATCGCAAACCCTATGTAAATAAAATAACTTCTATTTTTTTTTTCTTCTCTCTACAGTAATTATCGCAAACCCTATGTAAATAATTTAACAGCGGTTTAGATCTAAAAGATATAATAATAATTGCTCATGAATTTCATTAACAAAGAAAATAAATTAAATAATTATGATACATTCCATAAACAACTTAATATATATTTCATAATAAGGGCATTTGGTCTAGTGGTATGATTCTTGCTTTGGGTGCAAGAGGTCTTGAGTTGATTCTTGGAATGCCCATCCAAAAAAAACAAAAAAAATAAAATAGTTATCAATGGGGCCTAACCCAAAGGAATGTGTGGCAATGCACAACTTCTACTTATATAAATTTCATATATAGACTAGCAACTAAGAATTATAGATCTATTACAAAGGCATTTGGTCTAAGTGGTATGATTATCGTTTTGACCTTGAGCTAAGAATTATAGATCTATTACAAAGGCATTTGGTCTAAGTGGTATGATTATCGTTTTGACCTTGAGAGGTCTCAAGTTGATCTATTACAAAGGCATTTGGTCTAAGTGGTATGATTATCGTTTTGACCTTGAGAGGTCTCAAGTTCGATTCTCAAAATGCCCCCAACAATATTATATGAATTATGCAAGATAATATGATTTAAAATGTGGTTTTTAAACATTGAATCAAGAAGATGAGAATAGAGAATGAAACATATTCTGCAGAATAAAGATCGTCTCGAGCCAGACTTCAAAAAGTCAAAAAGAGCATTATTACACAACTGTATTCTTTCTAGGAACTTTTCATTGTCTCGAGCCGGACTTCAAAAAGTCAAAAAGAGCATTATTACACAATTGTATTCTTTCTATGAACTTTTGTTCAATTGTATTCTTTGTCGGAACTTTTCATTGTCTCGAGCCGGACTTCAAAAAGTCAAAAAGAGCATTATTACACAAATTGTTCAATTGTATTCTTTCTAGGAACTTTTCATTATGTTGTCCGCTGTTGTCACAATCCTTTTAAGGAAGATGCGCCCAAATAACCGATGAAGAAGTTTCAGAGAGCCATAGGTCTGAATCCTGTCACCTTGATGTGGTATTCTCAGCGGCCGAAGTGCAAAGCCCCGTAGTCTATCCGTGGTCAGGAAGGCAGGCATGTTGTCCGCTGTCGTCACAATCCTTTTAAGAAAGATGTGCCCAAATAACCGATGAAGAAGTTTCAGAGAGCCATATGTTCGAATCCTGCCACCTTAATGTGGTATTCTAAAGGTCCGAAGTGCAAAGCCCCATAGCCTATCCGTGGTCAGGAAGAAAGGCGAACTGCGCACACTAAAAAAAAAGATCTTCTTTTCTATCACACATAAAATTGTCATTCTTTTGTCTTTTGAAACCCCTTACCTTATCAGTCATCAGAAAGGTTTTTGGTATCATATATCGAGATAATTATTATGAAAAAGCTATTCCACTAGTGTGACTTAGAAACCCTTTCTTTGTTGTATCAGTCATGCTATTTGAATAGCCTGAAGACATCATAGCCTCTCCACCAGTTTCGAAGACTCCTTCAGCATCAATGTGCTCCAATGAAAGAAATCAAACCCTTACCTGAACCAGAATCGGGCACAAAACGTCGAGGAGAAAGTCAAAAGTGAGCTCTTTTCGCGTATACGCAGTCTCCAAACCCAATTAGCCCACGGACTGTCTCCTCAACCCTGGCGAGTATGAGTGCTTGGTAAGAGAGAATGTCGAATGAGAAAGACATTCGATTACGGCAACATTCACAAATACAAAAGTGCACTAAACCTAGTAGAGATCTTCGACCTAACGATAATGGAACTTCAAGCCCATTTAATCAATCCGCTTTTTACCTTATTGTTGACCAAATTGGATGCACGCCAGGCCTAAATTCTCTCTCAGTCACCTAGAGACGAAAGGAAGATCAGATCCGAAGTTTACGAATCGACGAGAAAGTGGATCTAAGTTCTACACGCTTTCATTTTCAAAAGCTTCGCTTGCCTATGGTACTTTATTCAGGATGTGCAACAATACGGTCATCTCTCAGCCGTGTATAGAGAATTCCTTGATCATTTCCTTGGTGGATAACACAAATGAAATCGTTTCCCTGACCGCCCATCTTATGAGTCCATTCTTGTCTTGTTCGTTTGGTGTACTATTCTATACCTCTCTCGATTGATAGAAAGACGTTCGGGAGCTGGGAGGGCCTATCGTGAGGGAACTTTTCTTTTCACGGTAGGAAAAGGTAAAGCGGGAGCTGCATATGTCCACGGTGATCAAGGCAGAGCAACTCCTTCTTTAAAAGAG